GATGCCCAAGTCTGCTGCCAAGCAAGCACCCTGCCTGCCGCCCTCTCTCTCGGGGCCCGGGGACGACAAGCGGGCCCAAGCTTGGTCTAGCCCCCACTGTTCCCTTCAACTCATACACTCCTCTGGTCCCTCAATGGATGTATGAGCTGCTATATGTACTTGTTAGAAAATATAAAAATATTAAGTAGAAAAAGATGAAGCCAAATTACAGGCTAGTTTGTTTGTTTGCTGCTTTTTTGGGGGTCACACCCTGCTATGCACAGGGGTTCCTCCTGGCTCTGCACTCAGGAATTACTCCTGGAGGTACTCGGGGGACCCTATGGGATGCTGGGAATCGAACCCGGGTCAGCCACGTGCAAGGCAAACGCCCTCCCCCCCCCCCCCCCCCCCCCCCCCCCCGCTGTGCTATCGCTCCGGCCCCCAGGCTAGTGTTTTTTTAATGACTATTATTGAGTTGGCTTCTGTGATTTTTAATACTGCTCATGATGGCATCTCACGCACGTCATTCCAACACCACGCGTGTGCCCGCACTGACACCTCTCCTTGTCGAATACCAGGCATGTTGTTTGAAACGGAAGGGGAAGGGGCAGCGTTGGAAGGAAATGAGGCACTTGCTGGCATGCGGCCAGCCCTGGCTGTAATCCCTGTACAGCATACGGATCACAGGCTCCACCTGGGGAGCAGCGGCTGACCGCCGCGGGTGGACACCTCCGAGCCTCCATCAACTCCTTCTAATGAAGTGTTTTAAGGGGGCGGCAGAGTTAGCCGGGAGACAGCCCAACAGGCTGATGTGCAGACTTGGCATTTGGGAGACCTGGGTTCGTTTCTCGCTACCGCAGGGTTCCGAGCACGGTCAGAAGTGACCCCCTGAGCGATGAATGAGCCAGGAGCAAAATGCAAAAACGACAGGGGAGGGAAGAATGTCAGCTGCCACTCTTCCTCACAACTACCTCCCCAGGAAAAGGTGGCTCAAAGGACGTCCTGGCAGGCTTGGGGTGTGCATGAAATGAGAGGGGCTGTTTCTCGTGCACACAGTATGCACCAAGCACTCTCTCGCTCTCTCTCTCTCTCTCTCTCACACACACACACACACACACAAGCACACGTATGAACACTGAAAAGAACCCATCCGTACACACATTCACCCACACCAATACACATGAACTCACACAATCTCATACACATTCACAGACCAGCACACACTGGCTCACATCATACAGTCACACACACTCACACTGACACGTACTTCCTTCCATCACTCTGAAACTTGAATGGTCTTGCCCTAAGGGATTCCAAACGAATACGGGATAGCTGAGGAAAGGAGAGAAAGAGAAGGAAGGAAGGAAGGAAGGAAGGAAAAGAGAGAGAGAGAGAGAGAGAGAGAGAAAGAAAGAAAGAAAGAAAGAAAGAAAGAGAAAGAAGGAAGGAAAGAAAGGAGAGAAAGAGAGAAAGAGAAAGAAAAAAGAAAGAAAGAAAGAGAAAGAAAGAGAGAGAGAAAGAAAAAGAAAGAGAGAAAGGAAGAAAGAAAGAAAGAAAGAAAGAAGGAAAGAGAGAAAGAAAGGAAGGAAGGAAGGAAGGAAGGAAGGAAGGAAGGAAGGAAGAAAGAAAGAAAGAAAGAAAGAAAGAAAGAAAGAAAGAAAGAAAGAAAGACTTCCTCCGGGGCTGTGGCCATAGTCCAATGGGTAGGGAGGGTACTGGCCCGCCTCAATCCCCAGCATCCCAGAAGGTCGTCTGAGCCCACCAGGAATAAACCCTGATCATTCCAGGGTGTGGCCCCAAAACAAAACAAACAAATGCTTCAAGGTCCTTCCTTTCAGGATCTCGGCTATGTTTTCCTTGGGAGCTGGGCCCTCCAGCCTGGCCCCAGGCGACACTGTCCGGCCCACCTCAGAAGTCTCCTGGTCTCCAGGTTTTTCCTCTCTGGCAGACACTCACCTCAAAGGTATGCAAACGGAGGAGAGCTCTCGGCTGTTTCTGCTTCCTAGAGAAATCCACTTTCACCCTCCTGTTAACATTTTTCTTCCGTAGTATGATTTAATTTCAGTTTTTCCAGCGATAGCACAGCAGGTAGGGCGCTTGCCTTGCACGCAGCCAACACGGGTTCGATTCTTCCGCCCCTCTTGGAGAGCCTGGCAAGCTCCCCCGTGGCATATTCGATATGCCAAAATACAGTAACAAGTCTCACAACGGAGACATTACTGGTGCCCGCTCGAGCAAATCGATGAACAACAGGACAGTGCTACAGTGCTACAGATTTAAATTAGCCTATGGGACTGGAGCGATAGCACAGCAGGTAGGGCATTTGCCTTGCACACCTAACCAGGATTCGATTCCCAGCATCCCATAGGATCCCCAGAGCAGCACCAGGAGTCATTCCTGAGTGCAGAGCCAGGAGTAACCCCTGTGCATTGCCGGGTGTGACCCAAAAAGGAAAACAAACAAACCAGAAACCAAAGGAATAATTTAGCCTTCGGCTTAATCCTGGACCTTTTAACTTAACGAAGGGGAAATGACAAGGCAGAACCGTGCCATAGTCTGGACCCAATTCCCCACTAGGCCCTCTCCCAGCAAGTACCGAGCTCAACTGGGTTGCAAGTCCACACACTAGTGAAAACCCAAAGCACAAGAAATTCAATATTAGTTCAATGGGTTTCTGGCCGTGGAGGATTTCATCCCAGCTTTCTGGGAAAACTTCACTGCAATTCCTTCACCCGGTGTACGACTAACTTCCAACACTACTATTCTCTGCTTTTAATTTTCATTTCTATCCATAAACTAACTAGATGGGCTCAACACATTAGATATTCAGGCTAGGGATGCAGCTCGAGTTGGAACTGCTGTCTTGCAGTCAGGAGACCCAAGTTTAATTCCCAGCAACACAAAGGAAAAAAAAAAGCAGGATATCCACCATTCCCTCTATAAATCCAGTCTCCAAGCTTAGGGGCCAGATAGCACAGCAGCTAGGACCCAGGTTCCATCCCTGGCTCGCGGGTGCCCCAGTCCCTCCGAAAGATCCCTGAGCACCGCCAGATGTAGCCCTGAGCATGGAAACAAAACCTCCAAGCATGAACAGGACATCTGCACACACACACGTCCTCGGCTTCCAACAGGTGTCCTGTGAAACTTGAGGGAAGGGTGATGACAGGGACGGGCAGACACTGGAGGAGCGAAGATCGAGACCCTTGAGTCCCTCTGCCTCCAGGACACACCAAGGCCTGTTTCTGAACCTTCCCAAGGACATCTGCTCCTTGCTCTTTTCATTCCCATTTGCAATTCCGAAGGTCTCTGCAGATGCTTCCTAAACACTCGCTAAATTCACATAAATGGAGCAGAGAGATGGCGCAGGGAGAAAGGTGTAGGTAGGCCTTGCTCGCCAGGGCCCCAGGTTCAATCCCAGGCATCCCAGACGGTCCCCCCAGCCTGCCAGGAGTCATTCCTGAGCACCGCGGGTGTGACTCAAAAATCAACAACAAACACAAAGACAATATTTGGGGTAATTTGACTGCTAGATTTTATTCTCTATTTTGGAGTCTTATCATTGTGCATTCTTTTGTTTTGTTGGGGGAAGGGGGCACACCCAGGGGTGCTAAGGGGTTACTCCTGGCTCGGCCCTCAGGGATCACTCCTGGGGATGATCGGAGGAGACCATAAGGGATGCCAGGAACAGAAGCCGGGTGTGTGCAAGGCAAACGCCCTCCGCATTGTCCTATCAGGCTCCGGGGCCCCGTTCTGCACTATTCTAATTTTTCCAGGATTCCCTTTAACTAGCATTGTGATCACATGATTCTCTTTTTGGTTTGGGGGCTTCTTCTGGTGCTACGGGGCCGCTCCCGGCCGGGTGCTGGCACGAGTTCAGTCGCAGTGCGGGGCGGACCAAGGTGTGCCCCGGGACCCAGCTCCTGCCTTCGGAACTGGCTATCTATCAGCCCCAAGATGAAATTGTAACTTCAAAGGTTAATAATTAAAAGTAAACAATCGAAGGCCGGGGAGATAGTAGTGGGTTTGATGAAGACGCTTACTCGCCCGCACGCAACGCAGTCCAGTTCCCTTCAGGGCACCCGCTGCGCGATGCCTGCAGGGCCCTCGAGGAAGCCCCGGGCCCCTCTGGGTGCCCAACACGAGCAGGGGGGACACTCAGCGGCCACACGAGAACCGCCACAAGCTTAGCCTCGGCAAACCGCCCCCAAACTGCAGACAAACTGACTGCAGGGAACTCGGAAGGCAGAAAGGCACCGGTGGGGGGGACGCTCCCCTCGGAAGCATCGGGCTGGCACTGCCCGTGGGTGGTCCGGGGCGCCCCGCGCCCGCCTATCCCGGGCACCCGCCCCTCCGCGCGCGCCCCTGCCCCGGGAACGCGCGAGGCCCCGCGCCCCGCGCCCCCCGAGGCCCCCGCGCACCCCGGGCACCCTGTGACCCGAGCCCCCGCGCGCTCCGCGACCACCCCCCCGGAGCCCCTCGTGTCCCGCCGGTCAGCGCGGAGCCCCCTGTGCACCACGCACCAGCCCCGAGACCCCCGCGCACCCCGCTTCCAGCACGCCCCCGGCACCCTGCGGCCCGAGCCCCCCGCGCGCTCCGCCACCCCCCGCGCCAGCCCGGAGTCCCCTGCGCAACCCGCGCCAGCCCCGAGACCCCCGCTCACCCGGCACCCTGAGACCCCGAGCCCCCCGCGCGCTCTGCGACCCCCGTGCCAGCTCGGAGTCCCCTGCGCAACCGGCGCCAGCCCCGAGCCCCCCGCGCACCCCGCTGCCCGCGCGCACCCGGCACCCTGCGGCCCGAGCCCCCCGCGCGCTCCGCGTCCCCCAGGAGTCCCCCGTGTCCCCCCGCGCCAGCCCGGAGTCCCGCGTGTTCCCCGGGCCAGCGCGGAGCCCCCTGCGGACCACGCGCCAGCCAGCCCCGAGCCCACGCGCACCCCGCGCGCGTCCCGAGCCAGTCCCGCGCCCCGCGCCCCGGGCACCCCGCGCCCCCGGCACCCCGCGCGCCCCTGGCACCCCGCGACTTACCCGGGCTCGGTCGGGCGGCGGGGCCGGGCTGCCGGTGCGCGCGGGGCCGGCGAGGAGCCCGCGGCCTTTATAGGCGGCGGGAGGAGCCAGCGCGCCCGGCGGACCTCCCCGAGGAAGCGGCGCCGCCGGCGTGACTCGGGCCGCGCGTCTCGGGCGCCGCCGGGCTCGGGGCTGGGGGCTCGGGCTGCCCCCCACGGCCGCGCGCTCCGGCCCGCCCCGCCCCCCGGCCCGCTATCGGCGCTCGGGGCCGCGGGCTCCTCCCGGGCGAGGCGCGGCTGCGGCGGCCGATAAGCCCCGGACGGCACGCGGGGACCCGGCGCACACCGGCCCGGGCCCCGCGCCCACCCCCACGGGCGAGCGTGGGGGGTCCCTGGGACGCAGGGTCGGGGAACTGGGGGCCCGGGCCCGGGGAGGGAGAAATAGAAACCGAGGTCTGCAAACGAGGGGAAGTGGAGGGCGTGACAGTTTTGGTGGTTTTTGTTTTTTGTTTTTGGAGGGGGGTGTCCCATGCGTGATGCCCCGCGCGCGTGCTCCTGGCGGGGGCCCATAGGAGCTGCTGGGACGCCGAGCTGCGCGCGAGGCAGGCGCCCTCCCCGCCGTCCTGTCGCTCGGCCCAGGTCCCACAACTCCTGGAAGGGAGGTCGCAGAGACTGTGCCCCCCTCCCCAACCCGTCTGCACGCCAGGGAGATTGCGCGCGGGGGTTAAGACGCTTGCCTTGCGGGTAGCTCACGACTGCTCAACTCCTGGGACCCCTAGGAACCCCCCAGCACCCCATGGCAGAGTGTGACCACCCCCCCAACCCATTTTTAAAAAGGCCAATGCTGTGAACCGTTTTAAGGTTTTAAACGGATTGTTCACACTCGCGTAGTAAGCATTTCTGGCAATACACTGAGTGTGTGGACGAGCTGGAAAGTGCCGGTTCAGGATGACACAGCCTTCCTCTTCGCAGCTGCTATTCAGAGATTTTCTGGTTTGCGTTTGCAAAGGAAAGTTGCATTAGTTAAGTCGTTGAAGAGGACACAAGGATTACTGTTACTCCATCCAGTGCAAGTGAGTTGCAGGAAGAAGCCTAGGTAGAAAAGTCGGCCTAAGAGATAGGGCAACAGGCTAAACTCCGCTGCGGATGCGGAAGCCAAATCGGATCTTGGCTGGGACTAGATGTGGGGTTTCAGGTGTGCTGCCAGATCAAAAATAAAGAGTTTTTAAAAAATTAATTATGCCGGGGGCTGGAGTGGTAGCACAGCGGGTAGGGCATTTGCCTTTCACGCGGCCGACCCAGGTTCGATTCCCAGCATCCCATATGATCCCCTGAGCACCGCCAAGGGTGATTCCTGAGCGCAGAGCCAGGAGGAACCCCTGTGCATTGCTGGGTGTGACCCAAAAAGCAAAATAAATAAATAAATAAAAATTAATTATACCGGGGGCTGGAGCAATAGCACAGCGGGTAGGAGGTTTGCCTTGCATGTGGCCGGCTAGGGTTTGATCCCCCAGCATCCCATATGGTCCCCTAAGCACCGCCAGGAGTAATTCCTGAGCGCAGAGCCAGGAGGAACCCCTGTGCATTGCCTGGTGTGACCCAAAACGCAAAAAATAAATAAATAAAAAATAAAAATCATTTAAAAAAATTAATTATACTGGGGGCTGGAGCGATAGCACAGCGGGTAGGGTGTTTGCCTTGCATGTGGCCGGCCAGGGTTCGATCCCCAGCATCCCATATGGTCCCCTGAGCACCGCCAGGAGTAACCCCTGAACAAAATAACAGGCGGTGACCCCAGACCAAAATAAACACCCCCCTCCCCAATGCCATGTTATTACACTATGGAGGAACTTCAGTATACATAGACATGTGTATACGCACGTGATGGTCCCAGATAAACCCAGACGCTTGGGCGTTCTTCTTGCACTAACTTTTGAATCAGTTCAAAGATAAAGACACATAAATAAGCTTTTCATCCTTTATTATAAGCTGAGGATGGGGAAAAGGCTTAAGAACAGGCTTTTCGTAACCTAGAAAAATGGAAAGCCTCTAAGGAATAAAACTAATGATACCCGGGCCAGAGCAATAGTACAGCAGGTAAGAAGCTCGCCTCGCTCTCATCCCGCCCAGCTGTGATCCCCGGCACTCCACAGGGTCCCCCTGAGCCCAGCAAGAGTCATCCCTGAGCACAGACCCAGGAGCAAGCCCTGAGCATAGCCAGGTGTGACCCCCAAACAAACAAACAAAAACTATTGGCACTCAAAATAAATAAAACTATTAATATCAGTGCAGGGAAAAAATAATTACTCAAACCCTGAAGGAATTTCCCAGAGGGGACTAATAAAAATGGAGAAGACAGGTGGAAAAACAATTATAGACGACGCACAAAAATGTTCAATTGAACGTTGCATTCTGCCATTCTGCAAAATCAAAGAAACGAAAGCTGTGCGTAGGGGCTGGAGGGTACAGTGGGTAGGGCAATTGCATTGCACGCAGCACCTCAAGTTCCCATCCTGCACCCCATCTGGTGCCCGGAGCCCTGCGGGGTGATCTCGGAGCACGTAGGAGTAAACCCTGAGTAGCACTGTCGCACTGTCTTCCCGTTGCTCATCGAGTTGCTCGAGCGGGCACCAGTAACGTCTCCATTGTGAGACTTGTTGTGACTGTGTTTGGCATATCAAATACGTCACGGGGAGCTTGCCAGGCTCTGCTGTGCGGGCAGAATACTCTCGGTAGCTTGCCGGGCTCTTAGAGAGGGACGGAGGAGTCGAACCCGGGTCGGCCGCGTGCAAGGCAAATGCCCTACCCGCTGTGCTATCGCTCCAGCCCAAACCCTGAGTACCACCAGGTCTGGCCCCAAAATAAAACAAAACAAAAGTAGCTGACACTTTTCTAGATAGTGTTACAACTCTTCTACTCTGCCTTTTATTATCTTATCATTTCATTCTGTCTTTTATTTATCATTTCATTTACCTTTTGGTTGTTGGTTTGGGGAGGATTGGCCCACACCTGGCAGTGCTCAGGGCTTATTCCTGGCTCTGCACTCAGGGATCATTCCTGGCAGTGCTCAAAGACCATATGGGATGCTGGGAATCGAACCTGGGTTGGCCTCATGCAAGGTAAGTGCCCTCCCCGCTGTCCACCCTATCACTCCGACCCTTCATTAATGTTTGGGTTTGGGGGGGGTCACAGCGGCGTTGCTCCCAGGCTGCGTGGGAGTCGCTGCTGACAGTGCCCAGGGCCCACGGGGTGTGCAGGGCTCAATCCTGGGTCCAGCAGGCAGAGCGTGGGCTCCCAGGCCCTTTGCCTTCCATTTTAAGGACTGTTCTAAAATCCACTTAATTGAGATGATGTCGCATTCAAATGGGAAAGGTGGACTTTCTTGAAATGTAAAATAAACTGATAAAGCATATTTTTATCAGATTTGTACTGGTTTGCCAATAGAACAGAAAGACTCCTGGCAGGGCAATGACTCAACAGGCTGAGCACACGCTTTGCATGCAGGAGGCCTGGGTTCAACCCAGAGCACTGCCAAGGAGCACCTCCTGAGCACTGGGGCAGGAGTATAAGACCCTGAGCACCTCTGGGTGTGCCCTCCCCCTGCCACCCTTAATAAAAAGAAGACATGACAATCATGTCTTTCTTCCTTCCTTCCTTTCTTTCTTTTTTTCTTTCTTTCTGTCTTTGCATTTTGGGCCACACCCGGTGATGCTCAGAGGTTACTCCTGGCTCAAGCACTCAGGAATTACTCCTGGACTCCTGGACCTTATGGGAGGTCAGTGGAACCTAGGTCGGCCACATGCAAGGCCAACGCCCTCCCCGCTGCGCTATTGTTCTGGCCCCCAGGACAACAATGTCTTCACCTCAAACCAAAAGTGATCAGTTGTTCCCTCAGAAAAAAAGAATGAGGATTGCTCAGACACAAAAGGGCTTATTCACAGCACCCTGTGGGAAATAGAGTCCCGAGGTCAAACATGCTTGCAGCCCCAAGGACACAGATGCACTGGGTGGTGTAGAGGCAGTGGGACCCCCTCCCACCCCTGGGCTCCTCCATGGGGGGCCGAGGATGCACCCACATCCTGCAGGAGACACTGAGGGGTGGCTGGGGGTGGGGAGGTCGACTCTCTCTCGTGACCGCTTTTATTTTCTTTTTCTCGTGGCCGCTTTAGCAAGTGGTTGTATTTAGAGAGATTCACTTAGAGAAATCTGGGGGCGGGGCAGAGACAGAGGCAGAGACAGAGACAGAGACAGAGACCCACCGAGAGACAGAGACTTGTGTTCCACAGTGAAGGCGGCGGCTGGGCTGGTAGCCGCTCCTCTTTGGGCCGGGAGGCTCCAACAGGATGCTTCCCAGACGGGTTTATGTAGATTATCGCTCACAAAGGGGAGCCGGGCCTCCCCCCTGCACGGGCTGGAGCCACAAAGGCAAACCCCGTAAGCGCCAGTCGCCACTTCCTGACCTCACCCCGAGACTTCCTCAGACACCTCACCTGCAGCAAATCCTCCTTCACCAGTTCCGATTAAACCCAGCCCTTCACAAAGGGATGGCGTGCTCAAGAAACAAGCCATTCTGGAGGGGGGGCTGAGTCCCTTTTCTAGGCGGCTGCCCCCCTCAGCGTGTGGGCACTCCCGCTCTCAGGCAATTAGGGAAGATGACCTTCCTCCTAATTTGAAAAGCGAGCCGCCCAGTCCAAAGGAAGCCGTGGCCGCGCAAAGTCCAGAGTCAGCGCTAGTGGGGGTGTCTTGGTTCAGCTCCGTGCCCTCTGCCCTCCACTGCATGACCCCACTTCTCTTTTCCTGAGTCACTGTTGGATGGCTCAGCATCTGCCATTCGCCCTGTGCAGAAAGCTCTTCTCAATCGGGTACTTTTTCTTTTTGCATTGCAAAGTTATTTCCGAAGAGATACTTTTTTTTTTTTTAATTTTTGGGTCACACCCAGCGATGCTCAGGGGTTACTCCTGGCTCGTGCACTCAGGAATTACTCCTGGTGGTGCTCAGGGGACCATATGGGATGCTAGGAATTGAACCCGGGTCAGCCACGTGCAAGGCAAACGCCCTACCCGCTGTACTATCGCTCCAGCCCCCCTCCTTCACTTTTTTTTTGGGGGGGTCATACCCGGCGATGCACAGGGGTTACTCCTGGCTCTGCACTCAGGAATTACCCCTGGCAGTGCTCAGGGGA